GCCTGTGAATGTAGTTCAAACAAAAAAAAAAAAGAAAAAGAAATTGAAAGTTCTGTTTGTTCAGATTTTGTAAAGTGGGCTGAACACAGAACTTTTCAGTACATCATCATTAATAGATACAATTCTATAAAAAATACTTTAACAAAAACTATGAGGTTTTAATTACAGAAATTATACATGGTAATATCTTAACTGTCAACTCCTGGTCTGGCTTCCTGTAATTGATCTGCAAGTTTAAATTAAATGTATGTCAATGCATATTGTACTATTCAAGAGTATCTTTGAAATTAAAATATCCCAGCTAAGCTATACCAATTTCTACCAGAGCTGAAAAAAGTATTGCCCTGATGGAAAATGACACCATTCTGAACTATGAAGTAATTACTCTTTAATCACTCCAACTGAGAACAGTACTTGCCTGAATTCATCATCTGATTTTGTGGAAGATGCTCATAATACATAATATCATTCAGATACACAGCATTATCTTTGGATGCAGACTGGCTTTTGAAGTGGCTAAAAAAAAAAAAAAAAAAAAAAAAAAAAAAATCACTGGTGGGCTAATTTTCCTCCAAGACTTGCCATTCCACATTGTAGCTTCAGATTACCACTTATTTCAATCCTTACAAAATTCCAATAGGAAGAACATAAAGCTGCATTAAAGAAGGCAAAAGATACAACATAACACCTATGTGGTTAGAAAAATCCATGTACAAATATCTAAATATTGTCTAACATCACTTACACACAAAAAAAAAAAAAAAAAAATGCAACAAATTTTGTTCTGACCAAATAACTAGTTTACTTTTAACCAGTATTAACTTCTGAACTCCAGCCCAAATTAGTGACATTATAGAAGGATCTTCTAGGGTCTCATTTCAGAGCCAATCAATCAATACTAGTCTTAAAATGGAGTAAATCAACACAAACCTTTCCTATTACCAAGAGTAGCTCCTAATAAATCCATTATAATCATGTCAGATAGCTTTCAGTAATTTTTATTTGCTCAGATTTTTGACATGAGAAAAAAAAAGAATCTAGGCACTGTAAAACTAGCTTTATTAGCTAGTTGAATGGTTTCATAAAAAGAATTTTAGTGCCTAGTTGAGTCAGTTTGAATTTTTTCAGTTTTTCTTTCAATTAGAAGTTATCATGGGATCAGAAAAGATCTAGCACACTTCAAATAACATCATTTCTTAAAGTATCTGACAAATTACTTGCTGTAAGGTAGCAATGTGACATTGATAAATGGAAAGAAAAGGTTAAAATTAAAATATAACTTGGAACAGATGAAAAGGGTTAAAGACATGGAAGGACATAAAACAAAAGGAAAGAGAGATGACTTAAAGAAAATGGTTTTATTTTTTTGGAACAGATATTGCCGAAAAGGCCATCTGGAAAAATTAAACCCACAAGAGATGGGGAGAGATGGTGGAAGGGCATTTGAAATCAATCAAGAACTTTGCTAAACAAGGTAGAAATTGAAAAATTAATTTATGGCCACTTACTACAGTACAGGTTATGGAAATATTTCCTGATGACCAGACAAGAGAGAAAGTTAATGGAGAGATAATATTTGGTAATTTTCAAAGACAAAGGCAATGTTAAACTGATCTATTTTACCTACTGAAAAGTGGAAATTGTAAACAGCCCAAGAAATGGGATTTCTTTAGGTAAGAACTAAACCCAAGAGTCATAAAAACAATTAACAAAATATACAAGCCAATACTTGCTAATGGCTGAGGAAACAGCTGGTAAATTTCTGATTATATAAACAAGTCTTTAGGTTGAGAAAATTTGTTGACAAAAATAAAAATGATAATTACAATTAATGACAAAGTTAGGCCATGCCATTTTGCCTATGTAGTTTAAAAATCAGATTTGTCAAAATAAGACATGAAAGGTCTAAATGAGATGCCAAGAGAGATGGAAGAATTGCCTGCGCCCATAGGGATGTAATGGTGCGAGGCATAGATAAGAGAATGTGCGAGTTGTACAGGTGGGCCAATGCCTGCAACCGCTGCCTGTTGGAGGAAGGAATCTCCCAAATTTGAAGAGAGAATTTTATAAACCAGACAACAAAGAACTCTTATTGGAAGACAGGAGAAACAACAAACACTCTCAGCTCTCAGCCTGTCCCAAGAAATTAGCATCGATAGACAAAAGTGTCACTGAAGAGACCTTAGTGGAAAGGGCTAAATTTTTTGTTCACTGAAAAACTACATAATACCAAATCAAAAGTTAACCAAAGTTTGCTTTTTTGTTTGCATGACTTTTGCAAAAAAAAAAAAATAATAATTTGCCAAGGAAATCACTACCAACTATATAATCAAGAACACAATGTGGGCAGGGCAAGGAGAACTGAAAAGGACAGCACAGCAACCAACACCAATTGAACTGTGACAGTGACTGCACAGTGTGAGCTTGACTGACAATGCCAAACCTAGAGTCAACACATGCCTAAAGGGTTATAGCAAGACATTACTTTAATAATAATAAAAACCTGTATTAAGAATTTACATACAATGCAGTCTGTTTCATCATTCTATTTTCCCTACAAAATCTATAACTAATTGAAAAACAAACTGACAATTCTAATAATTGGAGACTAAATTCAAATTCTCATTTTGATCACCCATAGTGTAAACATCTGTAGTGAAAGAGATAATCAGGTACCCTGGAAAAATGTTCATGCTTTGTGTGTGATCTGCCGAAGAATTACCAAAAAGTAGTCAGCAAAAATCTTATAGTGAAGAAAACGGCAACTTACCTCATCAAACCAAGCTACAGCACATCGCGTGTATTCTACAATGGAAAAGTGATGAAAAAGAAACAAGTCCGTCGCAGGAGTCGCTATAACAGTATTTTGATATGCAAATTTCTGAACATCTTATCCCAGCTGTCGAAGAATGAAAAAAATAGGTTCTGCCGATAAAAAGCAGTTGGTGTTCTCGATTTAGGGGCGGAAAATTCGGGCATTTTGGCCTCAGCGTTTTGTTAGAGAGCGAGTTATTTTTCGACTGGTTACATTGTGATTCAAGATAGTACCGCAAATCGAGTTTTCAGCATTTCTTTCTGCCCCTGATATTTTTTCTTTGTGTTGTGGAAGTAATCTGCGACAAATACTTCCTTTGCTTTCAGAACGCTTACACTTACAACATCCAAAGGGTTCATCTCTCACCTTTTCAAACAAACAATTAAGCTCACATTGATGTGAACAAGAATAAATGCAGTGTGCACAAATACAGAAAGATCTATTGTACATTCACAAGAAAACAAAGTGGTAATTAACACCTGGTGAGAAATGAAAATTCCACCCCAGTTTCCAATATTTGTTTATTCAAAGATCCACTGAACAGTTTGGGTGTATAGGTAGGTGACACTTAGGACAACTTCTGCCATGTCAGACTACCAAATCAGCTTCTCCCTTCAACCAATGAGAACTCCCCTGCCCACCTCTATATCATGATGCACAGCTATTGAGACCTCTATCAACACGGTGCACTTGTTAATAGGTTTCTTGGTAGCCTCAATTTTAATTGAGACATTATATAAACCAGCAAATGAAAAAGACTATGAGAAAATCATTTAACATTCTCTTCTATGCAGTTATCCTTATCACAGCCATTGTGTCACAAGAGTATCCTCATTCCATTCAAGATACCAATACTACTAGGAACTATTTCTAAAATGTTGCACAATTGTTTGCAGTGATCATAGTAAAGTAACAAGAATAAAAATTACTTGTTAGCATGTAACCTCTGGACTAATGATTTTATTTTATCCATTTTTTTTTAAAAATGGTGTCAAAGTTTTTGTTGCTTTCTTTTGTACATAATCCAAGGGATTAATGTTAGAGAAAAAAGGTGGTGGAAGCCATAAAGTCTTATACATCCTACAACTGTGAAAAGAAAAATTACAAATAGAAAAAAGCCATAGCATTTCAATGATTTATTGACCCGCAGTAATTGTACAGGCTCAATAGAGTCGGCAAAATAGGCTTCAATATTTTGAGCACAATAGATTGACTATGTTGCCTTGCCACCCCTTGTATGTGTGCTTTTTTTTCTTGTTACATAAAAAGAGAGAGAGTGAGAGTGTGTGTGTGTGTGTGTGCATATATGTGTAAGATAATCATATTTAGTTCTTATTGGCACCGGATTGTAACAGGTGGAAGTGGGGGGGAAGGAAGACTGCTGAAAAATGCAATATTGCAAGAACTTTAAAATAAGAACAATGGTTATTAGTGAATGCATTTTAGGTGGAAGGATTTATATATTGCATATATTTTTGCCATATTAAATAACCAAGATCAAATTCAATTTCTTTTTTTTTCAATTGAAGTAACAGTTATAACTAGAGTGCTTATGTATTTTCACATTATGACAGTTAATATTATCTAAGCTGTATCATTAAACAATATCTTAGTATTTATTATAGAATAGATGCTTTGTTTTTTTTATGACAAAGCTGATAGCTTAAATATTTAGATTTTTGTTAACTTTTCTATATAGTTTTTTCCATTATAAAAAATTTAATAAAAAAAAAAAAAAAAAAAAAGTAATTTTTAGAAGGGAAGGGAATTAAATTTAGAAAAATTTAAAGATTTAATTTCCTACAGTGAACTAGAAGAAAAAAAATGCATGCTTCAATTTAAGTAAACCATCTTGGCTAATGTGTTTGAAATTTCTAACTTTTTCAGAAATGAGGGGTGCAGTTTTTGCAAAAATCTTGACATTTTGAAGCCTAACTGCTTCAAACATAACACATTGGCCAATTCCAATCTGCTATTTTCATGGCCTTTTGATAAATGTTTGTAAAATTTTCCTGATATGTCCATGTCACAGGTGAAAATATAACAGCTCAGAACAGCTAGTGAGTGAGTCTGCAGCAATAATGTAGTCACCAATTGGTTAGTTTATGCTACAGCAATAGGAAAATAAATGTTCATTGAAGAGTATCCTTCACCTAAATGAGCAGCAAGGACTTAGATTCAGGATCTACTTGTTATCCAGTTTATATCCAACCACTTGTTCTTCATCCATGGCAGTCATTACAGTTAGCTGAAAAAGAAAAAAAAAACTCAAAACAGAGCAAGAGAGAAACTCTAAGAAACAGTTCTTATGTCTGACTGTGAAACTAATTTTACAATATCAATCTTCACCATCTTGGCAATTTCCATAACCATCAATCCCATTTCATCACTATCAGTCAAAAAAAAAAAAAAAAAAAAAAAAAAAGTAATTCATCATAGCAGCTCTGGTATGTTATGTTGACTGATTTTTGTTCATTTCTCCTTCCACCATGTCATTACTATCTCATTACAAACATACTGTAAAACAAATTCATTACAAACTTGGTTGAACAGCAATTATTTCATTGCCAATAGATGCAACATCTACCATGATATTCTCTCAAAGCACACCTGAAAAATGATATTGCATCTGCTGAAAGCATTTTTATGAGGTTGTGTTGCCCTCTACTGAAGCATAAAGTCAGGCTTGATTTTGCACCTAGTATATAACAAAGTCAGCAGGCATGCTATATATATTTTTTTTTTTTACTGCAGCAGGATCTTTTAATATTTTGTATTTTTCAAAGATATTTTTGTTTAATTTTCACTTTACTAAAAAAAAAAAAAAAAAAAAAAGCCTTCCCACTAGACAAGGCTGTTGTTGTAGTTCAGCAAACATGCAAATCTGTTTCACTTCTGGCCAATCATAAGTGTTGTGAACAACAACGTTTTCAAGTTATATTAGCAACCTTTGAGATAGCAAGCCATATAAAAAAAATGATTCCAAAATTTGATGATAGTGATGAACCCACTTGTGTATTTGAATGGCTAAAAAAAAAAAAAAAGTGAGGGATCAAAGACTGGAATACATCCTTCCACTGTATCTAAACAGTGGTCCTTTGCTGTGTATCAGCAGCTTATCAAGGAAGAAAAATCAGATACTGCACAAATAAAGCAAGTCCTATGAATTGATTTTGCAACAGAAAAATTTATGGCTAAACATCTGCATGCCTGGAATTTCATTGTATATCTTGCAGATCTGCAAAAACTTGCTTTGTTTGGGAGAATATCAGAACAGGTCATGGCTTGTACTTTTGTGACAGGACTGCTAAATCATTTAAAGCACACATTGTGAACATCATTGAGGATGGATAAGAGGAATGTAAGCCAACTACTAGCTAGAACTAGTAATGAATGATGGGATGGTAATTGAAAACCAGTCACAGTAGCCATGTCGGCAGTTAAAACTGACATTCCTATTCCCTCCATTAAGTATCGTGCCAAACAGTTGCAACAGGTGCTCGAGACCTCATGCCAGGGACATGTACTAGCTTTAAATGAAAAGCATTCCTAGAAGTACAATGTTTTCAATATTAAGGACTAGGTCATTTTGCTGCAGAATGTCAGAGAAACAGGCTAAGAGACAAGATATCCACATAAAAGAAATAAAACAGGCACTCCTGGAGATAAAGTGTATATACATGGGAAACAATGTACAGCATTAGTGGATTTGGGTTGTTTCACTCTTTCATGGATCAGCCTGGAGCAAAGAGGATGTGAACATGCTGATGGTCAATGAACAGATCCTTTAAAGTCAAGAAAGTGGTACTGTAGAGCTGAAGTTTGATATCATGAACCCAGTGAAAGTTACAGTCCTAATTGCAAACTGTAAATTGCTGAGATTTCACCAGATCCTGTGAATGGACATTATTAGGAAGTTGGATAGAGTTCATATAACCAGCTCAGGTAAAGTTGTGCTTTCACAGTGGAAATTGCCAATATATGCAGCCATTTAAAATTGATGAACCTGATGTTAGTACCAAGCTTGACATAGTAAAAGATCTGGACTGTGACATAAAAATGGACAAATGGTCACCTGCTGGAGCAATTCCAAAATGCAGTGCTCTTGTTCAAACAAGTTGGATTGATTGATTTGTGCTTTTTATGGCTTAATTTGTGGGTTTAAATAACAAAAATATTTTGGATTGTAAGAATAATTCATTTTTTAATTGCATTGACAGTTTTTTTGTTTTTTTTTTTGAGAATAACTGATATTTTCCAGATACAAGTTCTATTTAACTCATAGTTGGAAGAAGGAGATGGATTCATACCTTTCTCAGAGTAATTGTGTGTAACTGAACATAACGAACCTGACTTGACTCAGCTCTCATATTTATTTCAAATATTATACATTACACCATGCACACGTCCAGTTAGAGAGAAATATGAACAATAGTTGCAGATATGGCTAGACCACAGATCATTGCTCTTATCCAGAAAGAGAACTAGGTATTCCCAGGGGCCTAATCCTATCAATGGCAATAGTGCAAGAGAATAAGGGAAAGGTGCACCTTGAAGTTGAACAAACATGTTGATGCTCACACAGCTGATGCCAATGTGTGTGCACAGAATATGAGTGAGTGGTGGCAAAACGTTCATCCTTGACTGGCAGAAGGCTTACTTGCAAATGCACATACACAAATCACTGTGCCATTTAAGAAAAACTCAAGTAATGAGGATATTTTTTTAACCAGAATGTTATTTGAACAAAACAGTCATTGTGGATATAGAATTTTCAGAAAATGACTTCATTCATCAGGAAACATTCAGTAACATATATGTATACATCAGTATACATATATGTTGCTGAAAATATTGCATAACTGGCATGTGAAAAACAACATCTACCTGACTATGGGTTTAAATATCTGGGGAGCAGAGCATAACAGAATCTATTGGAAGTGTAAAAGCAAAGTCCCACAGATGCCAGAACTGATAACACACCACGTTATTTTCACTGTGTGGAAACATGGTGGGACACCTTCCAGTTTGCAGCTGGCTCAAAGTTGTATCAGCTTTTATCAAATGCAGCCACAGCTGGCTGGGAGTGGGGAAAACAAAGGGAATGATCCCTCTCTTAGAGCCATGATTGCAGAAATTATTGCTAGAGTACATTACAATGACACTACATGTAGTATGTGGTGCACAGAGGGAGGAACATTGGAGGTGTGGGTTGATGCAAGCTCTCTTGTCACCAGAATCTAGCTAGGGCTCTTTCTCTCACTGAAGTTGCATGTTGGTTGCATCTTGTGAAGCATGCAGAGAATATCAATTTCTTGGCATCAACCTCATGCTCTAGTGGAACACAACTGATATGCATCAGTTTACAGACTATGTATTGGACATGCTCAAGGGAAAAGTTAAGATTCTAAAAAGCCAAAAGTGAAAAGCTCATTTAAAAATAACTGTACATTTGAGAAGGTAACACATAAGTATGAATTGTCTGTGGATATGTTTGTCAAATCAGACTGGAATCAAGAAGACTAAGGAGTCCCACAAAAACGGCTAGACACAATAAGAAAATGTCAAACCTACTTATGTCACATCAGTAGATACACTTGGTCAAAACTTAATAAAGACTGTACACTGCTAAAGTAGGCATCTAAGCAACAAGATTACGTTATACTTTATAAAGTCATCCTGTGGTTCCAAAGGCAGATGTCAAGACAGTAGTCAAGGAATGCAAATCAATCAACTCGGTCTCAACATGTTGTTCACAAGGCAAGCTAAACATGACTGATGCATTAAAACAATTGTGAATTACATAATCCACTATAATTCAAGATACTATTTGCCAATTCACAATTTGGAAACCGCTGTGTCAACAGAATTCAACAAGTATCATCACACCCCATTTAGAGGGGCACCTTTTTTTATGACTAAGGTCCACCAGTAGAACTTCTCACATATAATGATGCTGTGTTTTGTACCTAACTAGTCAAAGTGTCTTTAGAGGAGCAGAGAGTAACTTGACATCCGATGTGTATATATTCCCAGAGGCAATAATATAATTGAGAGATGCCAGTGGAGTATTAAAACAGTTGCCACTAGGAAGCGATGCTCAATAATTGAGGTATCTACTGGTATAATTCACACCAAATGACAACACTTCAACTATTACTTTGCCTGATAACATGAGCCACTGCTACCAAGTAAGGGCAATTGATGCAATCTTTCCACAAAACATCAGAAAGATCGCATGCTGTACAAAGTGGGAGAGTTATGTGGGTCAAAAACATGCACAATCAATGTACCTTGAGATATCAGGTAGTATCAACAACCCACATACAATTTTGATTGTTGGAATGGCATAACACCTAAAGGATCTTCATTCCATCAGAGAGTAACACAGGCAGTACATTGAACACAGCTTCTGAAAATGTGAGGATGTTTGGAGTCAGTATGTCTAATGGCTCTTTTGATGGAGAAGCTTCTGGACCCGAGACTGATGCACATGATGACACCTCAGAAACTGTTCTCTGAAGAAGAGATGATTGCCACCCACATGACGAAGTACCATATAAACAAAAAATACTAAGTACCATCTATGTGGAAGTGTACTGTATTTTTAAGATCTTACAGAATTCCAAGTAAACTAGCAAGAAGTACTTTAGTAAAATATATAACTATGAATTTGAGTAAAATGCTTTGTAAGTTTGAAAGCACTCAGAACCAACATTTTTAAAAGCTCTAACAATTATCAAGTACAACTATGTCCGAGTTTAAAAAGTCATTTGGAATATTTGCTTGAAAAATAGCAAACAAAAAAATTGTAGTGACAACTATGTGCCAAAAATGATGTTAGATTAATAACTTAAAAAAGGAAAAATGTTCTTATATTTACTCATGCTATCATCAATCAGTGAATAAGACATCATTAACGCAAAATATTAATGAAAATAAAATACCAATAAAATCTTAATTGCCGACAATGCTTCATCTAATAAAAAGTAACATTGATCATAGGAAGAACCTAGGTATATTTGCATATAAAAGTTATATACAATATATTTTTATTATTCCATATTAAAAGAATAATTGAAGGTTCTATATTTTTCACAGGAAAATATAATTGAATCATTAAAGTTTATTATAAAAGTCTTAAAGTGAACTTACTGTAAGGGATTCTCCATTTTCATATCGCTCTTTAATCTCTTTACCAAGTTCATTGCTAGGACAGTTCAGATCAGTTTTTAGGTGCCCATCATCTTCCATGAGAGAAAGTGAACCATCATTTTCAATCTCAACAAGCTGAAATTTTAAAACATTACATTTTATACTTTGCAGGAGATTCAGAATAAAGCAAAAAGCAATTTTCAATTTTGATATTTTGAATATTATATAAAAATTAAATCAGTGTTTCACAAAGGTTCATACAATTCTATTAAAAAACCGAATGAAAGATTAGGAATATGGTTTTATGCACTCCATGCAATTAAGAGATTGAAAATATTTGCGGGGGGGACAAAAAAAAAAAAAAAAACCTTGAACAGTACATTTTACCAAGCCCATGACATGAATTTGCAGAATGATCCATTCATTTTTGTAAAAATTTGTCATTTGTAGTTGAGCCATCAAACATAGTTGCAATGATAAATTGCTGTCGTTTAAAGTTAATGGGTTAAAAATAAATCAGATACTAAAGACATGTACAAATAAATTGTAGTGATGAGAATATTTCATGATTATAGATACAATATTTAAAAAAAAAATAAATAAATAAATAAAAATAAAAAAAAATGAAAACCTTCAAATCTCTTACCATCATAATAAAAGAAAAAGAAATTCCTGAAAGAGACTAAGCATAAAGCAGTAACTTACTAAATAATCCTTTCGTTTAACATGTGGAACCAACATATTATGGGTTGAAGGACAAATATCCTCATATTTTTTGCCAGTGAAGAGATCAAGCCCAACAAGGTGAACCTAAAAAATAGTGTAAATTTTAAAATTTATATATATATATATATATATATATATATATATATATATATATATATATATATATATATAATATAATATGTAAGTATTATTTAGTAATATATTTAACAAGAACACCCTAAAATTGAGTTACAGCTGCTTTGAAAATCTAGGAAGGTATAATAAAAAAACAATAATAAAATCTTTCCAAACCCCCCACGCCTGAATAGTATTAATAAAAACCCTACACTTAAATCAGACAATAACAGGGAAAAATTATGTAATTGTAGAAACCCAGAAGACTGCCCATTAGAAAATAAATGCTGCATCAAATCTGTGGTATACCAATGTACTATATCATCCACTGAGAGTCCTAGCACTAATATGATATACATTGGGTCCATTTAACAATGATTTTAAAAAAAATAGATGGAGGCAGCATAAGTGCTCTTTCAACAATATAAATAAAAAAAACCAGACTTCCCTATCTAAATATTTTTGGCATCTGAAGGAAATAAATAGGACACCTAAAGTAAAATGGAAAATTATAAACAGGACTAGAACATGTAAAACTTAGGATGACCCATGCCCTTTTTGCCTCCATGAGAAGCTGCACATTAAGTTTCTAAATAATAATCTATTAAACAATAGACATGAGTTAATGTTTTTTTGTCGACATCATCAAATCTATGGTTTGAATGATTAGCTAAAAACAAGCATACAATATAATAACTTTTACAATCCATAGCCAAAATAAATAGTTTAAATACCCTACAAAAAGATAACCCTTTATGAAGTCGTCAAAAAACAAAAGTTACAGCAGCAGTTTTTATATGCACAAAATCCCTTTCATAAAGAAATAAAATAAAAAATAAATAAATCTCCATAGACACGTAAACAGACTAGGCTAAAACATCTTCCGTTTCAAATTTAGACACCCCCACCTTTTCCTGACTTGACATCTATGAAAGTAACTCTATACTGATACTTATTATTAACACCCAACACACGCCTACCCAATTTAAACAATTCGCCCTAGCTGTTACCATGGAAATTTTGATTTCAATTATTAAAACACGTAAATTTCTGAAATAAGTTATTCCAAAAAAATTTCAAAAAAAGATGGAACAGAGCTTTTAACTCAATTTAATTCAAATAATTATATTGAAGTTTTCAGCTCTTGTTTTGAAACATGAGACCTCTTATGTCGCGAGTTGGAATCATTTTTAAATAAATAATTATTTTATATATATATATATAAACCACACATGCCCCGTCATGTCTAGTGAGAAACTACTGTTTCTGGCATCTCAGGCCAACACATTAGAATTCACAAACATTTGATATTTGAAATGAAGGCTTTTCCATAAATGATGCATGAATTACACCCTATTGTCAAAAATAAACCAAAGACCCAGAGAAATTTAACTTGACATGATGGGGGGAAACTGCTTGGGTGATGCCATGATGTGTCCATGAGCAAGTGCTCCAAAGAAGGAATGCCTCTTCTGTGGGTATATACATGTATCCAAATGAAAAAAATGCCCTGTATATAGCAACTCATGCAAGCCTTGCAATGAACATAACCACTTTTAGATCAAGTGTCCTGACAAAGAACACTCATGATCCAAGAAAAGGAAAGTAACAAAAAGTCTGCATTTCGGTCTCATGAGCACTACTACAACACTACCTCAGGAAATGAAGATGACCTACAATGGGCAAAATGCTATCAAAGGAAGTTAAAAAGAAGATGCTATATGTGTTATGTTGCTAGGGAAGAAATTACTTTCCAAACTGATACAAGAGCAACTGTCAGTATGCACCTTGCAAGACATAATCAACATCAGCCCATGCTATCAATATGGAACAATACCTTGGTGAGAATACTTGGACTGTATTAAGGAATCATTAAAAATAATACCCAAAACAACCCAAAATACTCCTTTGAATTTCTCATCTCCAAAGATAAAGATCACTTATGACCTGTGAGCAGATACGTCTTGTAAATATTAAGGAAAATACTTCTTTTGCTGTGAATGAATTCAAAGAGATATTTGTGCCCAGCTAGCAGAACTGCCTGGGGTCACAACACTATAGCTGAAACCAGATGTTCCTTCGTTACACCCAACAAAAGAGTGTAGCTGTCAACCTACAACTGCAGGAGACCAAATATACTAACCGAGATTGGTGTCATCTCACCAATTGAGAAACTCTCCATGAGTCTGTTAACTAGAAAAAGAACAGTTCATGGAGGATATGCATACACTATGATTGGAATAAGGCACTCATGCACGAACATTAGACAATGCATCTTTTGGCAGTGATTGCCATTCAGTTTAAACTGTTGCCGAAGTCATAGAAAAAGAAAATGCTACAATGCTTCCAATACATGAAAGGAGTTATTGCAGATGATCTGGTGGGGTTTTGAAGGAGCCAGGAGAAACAGGACAAATAACTGCACCAGCTGATTGAAAGATGTCATACAGTTGAGGTCAAACTGAATCCAGAAGTTTGAGATGGGTTTGGATGCCATCACTTATAGGACACCTCATCATTAAGGAGAATAGTGAGGTCAACCCAGAAAATGTAAGTGCTATTTGAGACATGTCCACCCCAGGAATGTAAGAGACCTATGCTGATTTCTGAGCATAGTGAACTATGTAAATTCCAATAGTCAAACAACTTCATGACTTGACCAAGAAGGAGGTCACACTGATGTGGTCAGATTCCCAACAAACTGCTTTTGATATAGTAAAAGAGATGATTCTTAATTTGCTTGTTATCCCTAATATTACCTATTATGATCCTTCAAAAGGAAGAGATGTTTGAAAGAAAATGAAGCCTGTGAACATAGCTTGGGGAGGAGCCCACATGTAGAGATAAAGACTTGTCACATTTGCAAGAACAGTATCAGGAATTGGTAAAAACATTGGTATCGTCCTATCATTAGTTCAAATGCCAGGAATCTTTGGTATAACCCATCAAATAGATAGATATCCAAACATGTTCTTTAGTAGTCTAAAAATAAAAACACTGATGTTTAAGTGTATCCAGTAAATATAACGTTTATATATATATATATATATATATATGGTGTAACAAAAATACTTTTACAAACTTTGGGTGCCCAGAAGATTCCTCACACCAAAACAAGGACAAAAGTCCATATAAATAAACATGAGAAAATCCAGGTATTAGCACATGTCAAGTGGCCCTAGCATGTCGTATATCTCATAATATCACATGGAGGGGACTTCAAGAGCAGTTCCTGTATCCGTACCATTTGCAACGCGTGCATGGTCTTTCACCTTCTGATCACACACTGTGAGAGAACTTTTGCTGACAGTTTACTGCACAAACTGCTGATCTGTTGTTTGCCTCTTCAGACTTGTTTACGGATGAGACAACATTTGGAAGATATGGAATAAGAAATTAACCAACATTTGTGGACAGATCGGAATCCCCATGCACAATATAGGCTAAACACCAGCATCTGTTTACAACTAAATGTGTGGGCTGGAATTGTAGGTGACTGTCTGGTAGGTCCATATGTTCTATCAGCATGTCTTACAGGAGACGTCTACAGGGACTTTATTTTGAACACACTTCCAGACCTGTTAAAGGATGTACCCCTGCTAAAATGAAGACTCATGTGGTTCATGCATGATGGGGGTCCTGCACATTTTATCACATTGTTTGCGATGCACTGGCTGATACCTATAATGAAAGATGGATAAGGTAGGTGGAGGACTAGTTCTATGGTCTGCATGTCCTAACCTCAATGCTTTGGATTTTTATCTGTAGGGCCACCTAAAACATGTAGCAGATATTAATAATGCAGAGATGCTTCATCAACGTGTCATGGGGGCCTATGAAACCATTTGACACTGTGTGAGTATTTGAAAGTGTATGACAGTCAAGGATCCAACGGGTGCATGTGCATGCAGAAGTGGAGGACATTTTGAACATTTGTTATGAGTTGCTGTGTTGAGAAACAATGATGGCCTTTTGGACATCTGTTTATATGGACATTTTACATTGTTTTGGTGTCAACCCCCACCAAAACTTTTTAAAAGTATCTTGGATTGTATATTTAACAGTGTCTACCATAAAATTTAAAATTAAAAACTAAAAAATGAAGGATTTGCAGACATATGTTTATATGAACGTTTGTTCTCATTTTGGCGTGAGGAAACTGCCTACAAAGTTCGTAAAAGTATTTTTGATACACCCTGTATATCATTAAATAAATCAACTAATTACATCTAGCTTTCTGGCATATCAATTCTATGGTTGATGTTAAACAAATTTAAATATGTACCACCAACAAACATTATTGTCTTTTAAAACTATTTTCTTCTCATATACAGAACACTAGTTTCTATTCAGTTGAATAGAGACCAAACAATACTTGTTAAATACATATATGGAAGCATTTAGTTAAAAAATATCCTGTACATGAAAACTATTTCTATAGAACAGGGATCGGCAACCTTTTGCTATGTGCTGACTTAGGGTTTTGAAATCATTCAGTGCATCAAAAGCATGCATATTTTTATACAAGTCAAGGTCAATATACTTGTTCTACAATATATTTTATATAGTAATATATAGTATATTTACTTTAGTATATATTAAAATTGAAACAGCTAAATATCTTTGCGTTGTAATAGTTATTGGTTCGGACTTCATTGTCATTTCCATTGGAAATTGCTTGGTGTGCCATAGGTTGCTGCCCCCCCCCCCATAGAATAGATACAAGATATACAAGCTAAAATTCTTATTAATTTTATAAGTGTAGCAATTGTACTTCCTTATGAATTTAATTTGGCATTATTTTGCTTAATATGATATAGATATTAATAGGAGGAAATCATTCCTAACACAGTGAATGTCAGAGCAAGACTAAAATATTTTAGGAAACGTTTTTGGGAAAGTTAATTTCACTTAATTAGTCATTTTGTTAAATTAATACAGGTTATATTTCTTATCAGTGAAAAATCGGA